AAATGGCTGATCCAGCTATGGAGGAGGAGGAGGCAGGGCCATCAGGGGCAAAGAGCAGCAGGAAGAGGCAAGCCAAAGAGGCCCCTTCCTCAGAAGTAAACCCCAAGGTCTCTAAAGCAACTACCAGGGCAGAAGAGTGCAGGCAGAAGAATTTCTCAGGGCCCAAAAACAACAACATAATCTAATTGCCCAACCCTCCCTCCCTCCCTCCGAGGATCACCAAGTGGCGTCCCCAGCTCCACCGGTCTTGCCTCCCATGGGCTCTGACACACACACCCCCCGGCTTATTCAGAAGGGGAATTGTCTTCTTCGGAGTCCTCATCTTCGATGGAACCTGACAACAGAGGCAATTTCTTTGATGTCCCTCTCAATAGGGAGTGCACCTTTGAACAGGCTTCCCTCCCGGTTACACATGGCTCTGGGCCCCACCACATCATGTACACCTCTCCTGCTGATATGGCAACCATCATTGCTGAAACCATTAAACAGGTCATGGCTGCTGGCCTACAACAGCAACCCCAACCTGCTCCATCACATGGCCATAAACATAAAATTTTCTGCTGCTGCGGCTCAGCAACCTGATCCTTCTGCCTCTACTTCTCAGGCCTCAATTGGCAGGGAGCAAGATAACCTGCAAGACTCAGACCTGTCTGATGATGAGATGGTCACCCCAGATATCCCTGCCTTTACCGAATTATTCAAAACTGATTGTTTCAAGTCCCTTCTACTTAAGGCCATTAAAGCTGCTAACTTACCATCTTCAGCTTCCACTTCACAGGATAAACTGGCAGAACCGGCTTCAACTGGGGGTCCCAGTACCCCATTCACCGAACCAACGGTGGAAAAAAGAGGTGATCCCTGTTCCCAAGATATTCCTGAACATCATCCAGAAGCAGTGGGAGTCTCCAGGCACGGGCCCACAGCTGACCAACTTTGACAAACGTCTCTACAACATTGCACCAGACCTCACCAAGTTCTTCGAGACTCCCCCAGTGGACACACCAGTTGCAGCCCTGTCTTCAACTACTGTGGTCTCTGGAGCCCCTGAGGAGGTTCTCAAGCGTGAGGAGAAAAGGTCAGATCAAACCTTAGTCAAAAACTATCAGGCTGGGGCCTGGGCTGTTAGGACCTATGTGGCCACTTCCTTTTTCTCCAGAGTGGCCCTGGTTTGGATTGAACAGCTTCAGGAGTGCATCGCTCCTACTGACACTAGATCACATAGGGATCTCAACAAGATCAGGGCAGCGGTTGAATTTGCGGCTGACTCTAAAGCCATGGCCTCTTCGGTCACGGCCAGGCATCTGCTTTGGCTCAAGCCATGGCAGGCGGATGTCTGTACCAAGTGGTGCCTAGCAGCCTCCCCATTCAATGGCACCCAATTATTTGGTAATCCCTTAGACCCATACTTCACGGAATCTAAAAACAAGCTCAAGGTCCTTTCATCCATCTACAAGAAACAGGACCGTCAGCCCCCTCCCTTCTATAGGAGGTCGCCCTTTCGACCAGCCGACGGGGACCTTCCTTCCCCTGTCCACAATGTCAGTCCTACCCTCCCAGACAGGGATCTCACCAGGACTGGTCCAATAGAAACACAGCGTTTCCCCTCCAAGAAATCTTACCGTGGAGAAGGCAACCGCCATTTTTCACATAGGAAATGACTATCTGGACTCTCTTCCGATCGGAGGCCGCCTGGCGTTCTTTGCCCACTGCTGCAAGGAGACCACAACAGACAATTGGGTACTCAAAACTGTCAAATTTGGTCTCATGCTGGAATTCCTCTCCACCCCCCAGGAACACTTCGTGCCATGCCCAGTCTCTTGGTGTCCTTGCAAGAGGGCACTGAAGGAACAGGCCATTCAGCACCTGTTGGAGATCGGGGCCATCCAACCGGTTCCTCCCCATCAGGTAGGGCAGGGTTTTTATTCCCGCCTGTTTGTGGTACTGAAGAATTCCGGGGGATGGAGAGCAATTTTAGATCTAAAAACATTGAACCGCCACATTGTCTATCGGCGGTTCAAAATGCATTCTCTGCACACCATCCTCCAGGCAGTCAGGAAAGGTGATTTCCTCACGTCAGTAGACTTGACCGAAGCTTACCTTCATATCCCCATCTTCATAGACCACCGAAGATATCTCTGCTTCTCCTATGGGCGGAGGCACTTCCAGTACTGAGCTCTTCCGTTTGGTCTATCCTCTGCCCCCAGGGTATTCACAAAAGTAGTGGCAGCACTGGCCGCCCACATCAGCTCATCCCCAGTTCAGATTCTCTGTTACCTGGACGACATCCTCTTGTTGTCCAGGTCTCTGGTTCAGGCAGAAAGAGATCTCGCCCTCACCATTCACATCTTGCGGAATCACGGGTTCGGTGTCAATCTCAAAAGTGTCACCTCGTTCCCAGCACCCGCCTTCTCCACCTCAGGGTCTTGATAGACACCATGGCGGAGAGGGTGTTCCTATCCAACGATGCATTCTCAGTATGAGGGAACTTGTCAGGAAGGTGCTAAATCTATGCAAGGCATCCCTTCTTCTTCTCTCCCAAGTCTTGGGCAAGATGGTATCCTGCTTCAGGATTGTCCCATGGGCCAGGTTTCACAGCAGGAGGCTTCAATGGTTCATGCTTTCACATAAAAAGGCCGACAGGGGCAGCTCTCCTCTCGGGTCCCCCTTCCCAGACAGGTATTACACACTCACAAATGGTGGCAGTCCCCGGCGATTTTGCAAGGGACCTTGTTCAGGGAGCCGTGCCATCTCATACGACGGATGCAAGTCTGACAGGATGGGGGGCACACATGCAGGATCTAGTGGCTCAGGGTCAGTGGTCCCTTGAAGAAGGCCAAAACGGCATAAATTGGCTAGAATTGCGGGCAGTTCGCCTTGACCTCAGATACTTCCATCACAGAGTTCAGACCCGACACAGATCACGACCAAGGCACACATAAACAGACAGGGAGGAACTTGTTCCTGGTGCCTGATGCAGGAGTCCAACCTGTTATGCCAGTGGGCGGAATCTCACCTGTCATCTCTCAGGGCAGAACACACCTCAGGGGTCTCCAATGTCCAAGCAGACTGGCTGAGCCAGACAGCGATAGATCAGGCGGAGTGGAGCATCCATCCGAACTTCTTCCATCGATTGACACTATGGTTCGGCATCCCAGTCCTAGACCTGTTCGCGACTGCAGACAACAACCAGTTACCCAGGTATTACTCGAGGTTCATGGACCCCATGGCAGAAGGAGTAGGCGCTCTCAGATGCCAGTGGCCCAGGGGTCTCCTGTACGCATTTCCTCCCCTTCCCCTCATTCAGAGGGTAATTCAAAAAATGTTGGAGCAGGAGCCAGAACTGTTGCTGCTAGCGCCGAATTGGCCACGCCGGCCTTGGTATGCCAACCTAGTGACTCTGTCAATCTCCACCCCATGGCACATCCCAAGGTCTCTCCTGTCTCTACACCAAGGGTCAGTTTGTCATCCCAACCCCCAGTGGCTGCAATTAACAGCAGGGCGATTGAGCAGCAAGCCTTAACAGCCAATAACATCTCCCTCAACGTCATTGCTACCATTCAGGCATCACGCAGAAGCTCTACTAACCGCATTTATGACGCCACATGGCGTACCTTTGCTCTGTGGTGTTCCAACCAGACTGTTGACCCACTTAGGGTATCCATTCCACAGATATTGGACTTCCTGCAGAGGAGGCTTGATCAGGGACTTACCCCTAACACTCTAAGCCGACAGGTAGCTACTCTGGCCTCTGTTCTGGACGGCCTGGCATCCAAACATCTGCCTTCTAAACCCTTGATCCGGAGATTTCTCCGTGGAGTGTCCAACCTGCATCCCCCTGCCATACATAGATATCCGACTTGGGACTTACCTCGTGTCCTAGAGGCTTTGACTTCCGCACCCTTTGAACCTATGAGATCCACTTCTTTGAAACTGTTGTCCTTCAAAACGCTGTTTTTGGTGGCTGTAACCTCAGCCAGACGTATTTCTGATTTGGCTGCTCTTTCAGTCAGGCATGACTTGCGCGTGTTCCATCCAGACCGAGTTATCTTAAGACTGGACCCAACATTCATACCGAAGGTCAATAGCTGTTTCCACTGAGGTCAGGAGTTGATCTTACCTGATTTCTGTCTGTTTCCCCGTCACGAGAGGGAGCGCAAGTGGCACACTCTTGACATACATTGTGCCCTCAAGATCTACATTGATCACACCACCTCGTTCCGCCACTCGGAAGCTCTCTTCATCTCCTTTCGCCAGGCCTCTTTGGGTACTAAGGCTTCATTGTCTAGTCTGGGGCGATGGATAAGAGCCTGTATTAAACTGTCTTATGAACTTCAATCCATACAGGTCCCTGCAAACATTACAGCTCACTCTACATGCAGCGCTGCGACATCTGCGGCTTGGTCCACTTAAGCCACCTTGGAAGAAGTCTGCCGGGAGGCCACCTGGGCGTCTCCCACAGTTTTCCTACGTAATTACAAGTTGGACAAGTATGCGTCGGCTGACACGGCCTTTGGGCACAGGGTGCTGCAACAAGTGTGTGTGCCCTAACGGACCTTTTTTACAATTTCTCACCCTAGTCTTTGATACGTTCCAGTCTGGCTGCTGTCTCTACGATATCAGGAAAATGGGCGTTGGTCCTTACCTGATACGCTCATTTTCTGTTAGAGTAGAGACAGCAGCCAGCCCCACCCTGGTATGGGTCATGCAAGGGGATTCCTTGTGCGGAGGAGAGAGAGAGTGCCTATGGACTTTCACTTTTTGCTCACAATTCTCACTTGAGTCTACAGTTTTCCTTCATCTGAAACTGGGGAGGAGCCACAAGGGCCCAATGACATCATAAGTGTAGACTCAGTCTGATTGGTTAATGGACAGAGCATACCCAGTCTGGCTGCTGTCTCTACTCTAACAGAAAATGAGCGTATCAGGTAAGGACCAACGCCTATTCCCTTTTAAAATTGTAATTAATTGTAAGAATGTAATTTGAATTATAATTAACTTAAAAGAATATGTTCAGTATGATTTCAGCATGGAAGAACTTTGCTTATATATATATATATACTTGTCACAGGGCCTTTCTATGGACACCTGCAGCCAGTGTGTCTCACGAATGGGGCCGGTTGTATCCAGAGGCTTCAGGACTTCAGCTTCTATGGCTCAGACACAACCATCAGCTTTGTGCTCTGCTCCACCGCATGTGGCCCACTCTGGTCCAAGCAACCTCCCATCCTCAGCCATCCTCGTTCCATCTCCTGGCAGAGAGGCCATGTCAGAAGGAATCCACGAAGAACAGTTTAATGAGGCAGAGTTGATCAGATGCATTCAAACACAGCTGGCTCTGTTGCAAGCACGGGAAAGGGAGCGTGAGTTGAAGGAGGCTGTCAGAAATTGCCCAGATGTTGACCCAGTGCAATCCAAGCCACCCATTTCCAAAGAACCAGAGATAACTGAAGAATACAATGAAGGCACTTTAAGTGAAGAGGATACCTTAGAGGGCAGTGATGTGGCACCTGTGAGAGATACAAGCTGCCAAACTAGTTTCAGCACAGAAATCTTAAAGCCTCAAAAAAACAGCCTGCAGAAAAGAGTCCAAAAAGTGAAAACTGTAAAGTATCTTTTGACAGAGCTCAAGGCCTTGCTAACTGACCATGGTAATATGATTGTTCTTATGATTTGCTGGGGGGGGGGGGGCATTTTGTTACTTGTGAATATGATCAGTCTCCAGATGGCCTAGTAGTGTCACTTGCTGACTTGGTTAGAGATGGTTTTAAGGTGCTCATATCATGTGCTTTGGTGTAATAGCTAAGGTGTTGGCCTAGAAACCAGGAGAGACTGAGTTCTAGCCCTTCTTTAGGCATGAAAGTCAGCTGGATGACTTTGGGCCAGGCTCCCTCCCTCTCCCCCCCCCTCCATCTCTCCTTCCTCCCCTTCTCTTTCTCTCCCTCTCCCTTTGTTCAATCTAGCTCGTAGTTGTAGAGTACAAGTAGTCCTTGACTTACTTTTAGTGGCCATTCAGAGTTATAGCGGCACTGAAAAATATGATTTATGATCATTTTTCACAGTTATGACCGTTGTAGCATCCCCATGATCAGAATTCAGATGCTGGTCCATGTTTATGCAGTGTTCCAAGGTCATGTGATCACCTTTTATAACCACCTGACCAGCAAAGTCAGCGGGGAAGCCAAATTCACTTAACAACTGGGTTACTTGCTTATCAGCTGAAGTGATTCACTTAACTATGGCAAGAAAGATCATAAAATGCGACAAAACTCAGTAGATATTTCACTTAATGACAGAAATTTTGAGTTCAATTGTTGTAAATGGAGAACTATCTATATTAGGGATGTTCACTGCTTATATAAAGGTGAGATAAAATGATGATAATGATATTTTCATCATCATATTAGAGCAACTCCCCACAGAACAAGTGTTCAGTTAAATGTGAGTAGAAAACACTGCCAAACATGATAACCTCAAAATAAACTGATGAAACAGCAGAATCTTCTGATAAAAATAGCATGCTGGATTAAACATATTCTTTGATAATTTTTATCTTGCTTTGCAGCAAAATAGCCAATGTAATGGTTAAGTTGTTGAACTAAAATCAGGGAGATCCAATTTAAAGTTCATTCTCAAAATGAAAGCACTCTGGGTGCCTTTAGGCAGTGATGGGATTCAAATAATTTAACAACCGGTTATCTGCCTTAATGATTTCTTCCAACAACCAGCTCACCAAACTGCTCAGAAAATTAACAACTGGTACTCCCGAAGTGGTGTGAACTGGCTGAATCTCACCACTGCCTTTAGACCAATCACGACCACTTAGCCCTACCTATCCCAGGTTGTTGCATCAAGAAAGACAAATTTGTTATTAATACAACATAAGCTTCTGTTTAACTTTCCTTATTTGATTTCCTTATTTTGAGATTACTTACTTGTAATCTTACCAAAATAATTTTGGGTTATTTGTTCATTTAATAATCTTATTTAAATCCATCCATCATAAATCACTTTCTAGTAAATATGACAATTGCAGCATTTTTAAAAACTTGATGAGGATTGGAAATGGGCAATTACAAACATTAACTTTGTTCCTGTCTTGCCCTGCTCTTGGCAAACCAATGAATGCTAAAATCTACCATGAGGATTTTATATTGACAAAACAAAAATTTTGCACTTTTGAATTCACCTTTACTTTCCCATTGAGCTTACACCATCTGCAAAAATGAATCATTCTAGAAGTAAAGACTATTGAAGCTGCAGTTCTGTGATGTTTTTACCATTTTGAAATAAAAAGTATAAGATGGTGAGGGAGTGTTGAAACCTCAGATAAGAACTGTCAATGCTATAAATGAAACCTGTCACATTTCTTGGTCCTCATCTTCAAGCAACCTATTTGAAGAATGGGCCGTTTTTCATATTTTATATGGCAGTTGATGAAGAAAGCTAACATAGATGCCAAGAATCATGCACTTGTAAACCTGCTCACCCCATTCATATTAGGATGATAAACTTGATTGTCTACAATAATACTTTGAAGAATGGCTATTTGGGTATCTGTGAAAATACATTTTTTCTTGTTTTCCTCTTTCTCACTGAAGATTCAGAAACATTAGGGGTGCTAGATGAAATAGATGACACCACGTCACTCTTGCCCGCAACTATTGAGAATACAAATATACAAGCTGAAATAGCACTTGCCCTTCAGCCTCTCAGAAGTGAAAACGCCCAGTTGCGCAGGTCAGTAAACAAGAGAAAAATATCGTACTTAAGGCAAAGTGGTGGTTCACCAGATTGCAAATTCAATCTAATTATAATACAGTGAGCATTGTGTTGGGATTTTGAATACATAGATACTTTGCTATTTTGGCTCGATGTCAAGCACTTTCAAAAAAAATCAAATCAAATATCACATCTGGACTGATGTGAATCCGTATCTTCTTGAGCATAGCAACAAATCTACTCCCAGATTTTTCTCTTCTCAGAATAAAACTGAATCCAGGCCACATTCTGACAATGGCAGATATGTGATAAAAGGGGAGGGAGGCTTTGGTGTTTGACTGTATATATTATGCTGGTGAGAAGAAAAGCAGCACCACTGCATTCAATGACTGAGGTCTGTCCTCTGTTCAGAGTCATCCTTGCAGTGAACTACCCAAGTTGCTGCAGTTTTAACTTTCTGGACAAGTAACAAGAACATGGAGGCAGAGTTGTTCAGACCCCAATTGAATAGTCCAGCAGCTGCTCAGGAAGATGGAAAGAGCAAGGTGGGGGTGAATGCCAATCAAACTGCTTTCAAATAGATTATTTCCAAAGTAACATTTTAGACTTTTGGGAACATTGTGGAAGTGAATAAGCATCCAAGCACCAGTCATATCAGATTTAAAGGAAATTGCAATCAGGCATGGGAGACACCAGGGTCACTGCTATCTGAAGATGACAACAGAGTGAGTACCAAGATTCGGGAGAATAATATCCTCCATCTGCAAGTGGATTGCCAATTCTACTTTTCTCAAGAGACTTGAAATAGATCCTACATGGTGATGGAGTAGGGTTTTTTAAGCCTTTAATTTGAAGTGTGGGCTGGTGGGGAGGAAGGTCGTTGCAGTGGCTGGACTTTAACCGCTTTCTCAGTTATACACACACAGACAGACAGACACACACACAAACACACACACACACACACACACACATATCTGATGGAGAAGGGGAATTTAGGCCACAAGGAGATTCCATCCACCAAGAACAGGCTTAATTTGCTTAACTCAAGAAGTTAGGAAATGATTCGCTTCCAGAATCAAGAAGTGGGCCATTTCAATTGGATCCAGCCCTTTAAGTGAGTTGGGAGAGTTTTATGCAACTGCACTAGAAAATGGGAGGCAGGATTTTAATATGAACAGGCCAATTATTCCAATGGAAGCTTTCTGCTGAAAGAAGGTTTTGGAGAAAGAAAGTTTATCTCAGGATGGGCAAACTTTATTTTTTTTTTCAGTCAGAGTGAGGAAAAAGTGCTGTAGAAGGCACTTTTAAAATTGAATCTAAGTAATAAATGTATTTGTTAACAAGAAAGTATTTGTTTAAAAATCCTGCCTCTTACTGTAGACGACTAAGAATTTTGAACCAACAGCTGAGGGAACAAAACAGAGCTGAAAAGGAATGTAGCTTGGATAGCAACTTGGAAGGTAAGTAGCAAGTATAAATGTTTTAGCATGTATTAAAATCATGTTCAATAGCATCTGAGAACTGGAAATATTTTGACATATTTCCAGAAATGGTTTTTCTTTTCTGGACTATAGACTGTATCTCCAGACATTCTTCTGGGTGAGTGAAATGTTTCAGATTGGAAAGACAATGGAGTTAACACTCTGGCCCCACTTGTTTTTTCTAATTGACATGAATCTCAATTATCTCAAAGAATTCTGTATTTATATATGTCTCTGAGTGCAGCTAGCCAAACATAGTGGGACTGGGTTGTATTCTAGTTATGGGTTGTATAGAGAGAGACGCTCAAGTTCAAGTAAAAGCAGGTGTTCTTCAGAGTTTTGGATGGGTGTATGATGATTAGAGAAAATAGAAAGAGACTGCAGGTATGACCTTATTCTTCACCCAGTTTAAAAACCTCTTTGTGTTTGGATACAAACAAAGCAATAATATCTACTAATAGCTTTTTAGAAGTTACCTTCAAAGTAACTATATTCCTTGACTAGAAACCTTGCTAGTGTAATATAGAATATTAATATCTGCCAGATGCATTGAAAACAGCAAAAAGAGGAGTTGATTATCACTTGTCATACTGTCTTGACTTGCATTGAATGTCATTGGCAAATTGTGTCATTCCAGAGATTAGGCATAAAATATTGGCTCCATAGTACTTTATACTGTTTTACTACCTCCATCTCATAAAACGCAATGTGATGTACCGAGAAATATAATAATAAAATAGAACCATAAATCCTCAACCATAAAAGAGTCTGCAATTCATTATTCATGATACATATTGCTAAAAGTCTGCCTCCCCCCCCCCCGCCCCAGGCAATAAATGCCCATTATTGCCACCACAGTAATGGTCATGTGTATTGCTGGAGCAATGTATTTCATGCAGACTTCTTCTGACCACATCTCAGAGATCAGAAGAAAGTGCCTTTTTTTCAGTCAAACAAGTGAAATATTTGTCCATGGACCATATTTCTGAAAGAACTGTTTTCCTCCTATAGTTGTGTCCCTCCAGTCTTTGAATATGACATTGCAGAGTCAGTTGAATGAATCCATGAGAAGCATTGAGTTGTTGCAGGATAAAAATGAAGAATTCATTAAAATCCTAGAAAGCCAAAAAGAAGAAAATAAAAGGCTAACTAGACAAATCCATGAGAAAGAACAAGAGCTACTTGAAAAGAAACAACAGCGGGATATTGACTCAACCAAACTCAAAATAGGTGTGTGAGTTGACAAATTGTGTGTGTGTGTGTGTGTGTGTGTGTGTGTGTCCGTCCAATCTTTATGCATTTATCATGGAAATTAAATTTCATTGGTTATTAATATATTCTAGAAGCAGATGAAATGTTGACCAATGTGAAGACTTACCAGTACAGGTTAGAAGCGGCTGAGAAAGAAAACCAGATTTTGGGCATAACATTGCGTCAGCGAGATGCAGAAGTGAATAGACTGCGTGAATTGACCTGGTACTGTTAACCTTGTTTATTTCTCTTAGTGTTTCAAATCCACTTAGCAAAATTGTACACTGCCCCATAGATTTAG